CAAGTAAGTAAAATTTTAAAATCAATTAATCAATCTTAGTTCTACCAGTTGCCTGTGTGAGCAAGTTACCTAAACTCTAAAATTAAATGCCTTCATCACCAAAATGAACATATCCACTTTCAAAAGTTTTTTGGTGGGGGGAAGGTTGGGGGTAATTTATGGATTAAAAAGTACATTTTGAAACACAATAGGCACTTAACAGTGTTTCCCTCCATTATCTTGGAGTTCCAGAAAATGCCAAGGAAGAGTTCCCAATGTCTATGAGAAAACCATAGAGTAAGGCCCCTGGGTTCAGAAGGAATCACTGAAACTAACTCCACAATGATCCATAAGAAGAGTTTTCCAGATCTAGGAACTAAACAACCTTGATGCTTTGATCCAAAGCACGATGTGAATCCAATGGGATTCAGGACCTCCAATGGGACAGTAGAAATGATAAGGAAATAATAAGTGCACACATTGCCACGGCATGCATTAAAGCCTTCCTGTGCCTAAGTACACTATCATGACATCTACAGGACAGAACTGAATATAATACAAGCGAAAGGTTGTCCTGATATTGACTAGATGGTTTGGGTCCTGATGCCTAAAAGAAACAAGGTTCTAGAGGCAAGAAGACTCAGAAATTTAGGGGGAAAAAATGTTTAAAAGGCTTATTTTATGATGAAGATTACCTAGACTAGAAATCTGTAAAAGGACTCTAGATCAAGAATAATCGGGGCAGCTAGATGACTCAGTCATTAAGCATCTGCCTTCGGCTCAGGTCATGATCTCAGGGTCCTGGGATCGAGCCCTGGATTGGTCTCCCTGCTCGGCGGGGAGCCTGCTTCTCCTTCTCCCACTCCCCCTGCTTGTGTTCCCTCTCTTGCAGTCTCTCTCTCTCTATCAAATCAATCAATCAATCAATAAATTTTCTAAAAAAAAAAAAAAAAGAATAATCTATTCTGGGGGCACCTGGGTGGCTCAGTCAGTTCAGCGCCCAAGACTTGGTTTCGGCTCCGGGGACGATCTCATGGTTTCGGGATCTGGCCCCAGGTCGGGCTCCAAAGCTCAGTGAGGAGTCTGCTTGAGAGTCTCTCTCCCTCTCCCTCTGCCCCTCCCTGCACTCACTCTATCTCTCTCACTAATAAATAAATCTTTAAAAAAATATTCTGAAATAGACTGGAATGAGAGTAAACAAAACAAAACAAAATAAAACCAACATTTCCAAATCTGTTCTCAACATGTGTTCTGTGTCCCTGTGATTTCCTTCCCTGTAATAGTCTAGAATACAAATACCAGAAATCTGGCTGGCATGCCAGCACATTATGCTGGGTTTATCACTGAAAATAATAATCAAACATGAAAAATAATAATGGTAGGAATCAAACATGGCCTTTTTTCTCCCACAGCTCAAAACTTGGTCTTAGAATCCTGCTGCACAGCTCCCTAAGGTGCCATCACCAGCTGACTAGAATTTTTTTTTTAAAGACTTATTTGAGAGAGAGAGAGAAAGAGAAAACAAGCAAGGCAGGGAGGAGCAAAGGGAAAGGGTGAGAAAAACTATCAGACTCTGCGCTCAGCAAAAAGCCAACACGGGATTCAATCTCACAACCAGGAGATCATGACCTGAGCCAAACCAAGAGTCAGAGGCTTAACCAACTGTGCCATCCAGGAGCCCCATAGCAGACTAGAATTTACACCCAAGAAATCCATTCTAACCTACACCATTCATATACTTGTAGCAACATACTAACTTAGTCCTGGACAAAAGTAGTCAAGATGAGAACACTGTCCTTAAGAAATTAAACACCAAACTACCATAAGATCCAGCAATTCCACTTTGGTGTATTTATACAAAGAAAACAAAAACAGTAACTGGAAAAGACTTATATGGCCCCATGTACATTATAGTATTACTTAACAATCGCCACAATATGGAGACAACCTAAGTGTCCATCAATGGATGAATGGATAAAGAAAATGTGGTATGTGTACACAATGGAATAAGAAGAAGAAGAAGAAATCTTGCCATTTGTAACAGTATGGATGGACCTTCAGGGCATTATGCTAAGTGAAATAACTCAGATAAAGACAAATACCATATGCTCTCACTTGTATGTGGAAACTTACACACACACACACACATACACACACACACACACAAATGCACACCAAGCTCACAGATATGGAGAACAGATTGGTGACTGCCAGAGCTGGGGGTAAGAGACAGAAAAAAATGGATGAAGGGGATTAAAAAGTACAAACTCATTACAAAATAAGTCATAGAGATGTCACGTACAGCATGGTGTCTAGAGCAAGCAAATAATACTGTACTGCATATTTGAGAGTTGCCAAGAGAGTAGATCTTAAAAGTCCTCATCGCAAGAAAAAAAAATACTTTTTTGTAACTACGTAAGGTGACGGATGTTAACGAGATTTCTTACAATCACTTTTCAATGTGCTGTTCAAACATCAAATCCTTGTTGTAGGGGCACCTGGGTGGCTCAGTGGGTTAAAGCCTCTGCCTTCGGCTCAGGTCATGATCCCAGGGTCCTGGGATCGAGCCCCACATCAGGCTCTCTGCTCAGCAGGGAGCATGCTTCCCTCTCTCTCTCTGCCTGCCTCTCTGCCTACTTGTGATCTCTGTCTGTCAAATAAATAAATAAAATCTTTAAAAAAAAAGAAGAAAAATCCTTGTTGTACACCTGAGACTGATTTAATAATATACGTCAAATATATCTCAGAAGGAAGGAAGGAAGGAAGGGAGGGAGGGAGGGAGGGAGGAAGGGAGAGAGAGGAAGGAAGGAAAGAAAGGAAAGAAGGAAGGAAGGAAGGAAGGAAGGGACTTTCCAGATAAACAAAAAAAGAAAACCATCCTGGAATGAAGGGTGAAGGATAAGCGGAGTTATCTGAATCATCACTATTAGCAGAAAAGGGGTGGTGGGGAGAGGAGATAAAGGTACCAAGAGGAACAAGTAGTGACCACTAAGCTTTCGACAACAGCTGTCAAAACAGGAAGTTCATGTCTACTGGTCTGATACAGAACCACAGAGTCTAACAGATTGTGACCAGGAAGATAGGCCGAGCAAAGAAAACCAAAAGAGAGAGCAAAATAAAATCTTCCCTATTTTCCATTGTCAGAGAGATAAGGTTTCCAAACAAAATAAAAACCAAAGAGCAACTTAATTAAAAAACAAAAACAAAAACTATGAGGTAGCTGTACCAAACACCTTGTGAATAACACACAATGAAGAGGCTAAGAGTACTGCTGTAGAAGAATGCGGGTCACGGAAAGATGCTCGTGACACAGAGTTTAAAATGTTGATCACAAAGGAGAACCTTCACCATGAGCCAGTTTTCCGGTGTTTTAAAGTCTGAAGGCATAGGAGTCTTAAGCCATTAGTTAACATTTAGGTGGAGAGTGAGATTTGAATGATTTTTATTTTCTTTTTGTTTGTTTCTCCAACTTAATGACAACAAAATACCAGGGAAATTAATTTTTTTGAAAAATGTGCTGCAAGTAGTAATTTGCTTTTACTTTATGTATAACTCTCAGAAAGAAGGAACATATGTCGGTTGCTGTAGAAACCGTGCGCTGGTCAGATTGACCTCTCTAGTCACAGCTATTTCCACAGAGATGAATAAGGAGAGGTCCAGTCTGATGATCTGAGGACCATTAATATCTGGCCACCCCATACCCCACCTTACAACTCATTAGAAACCTGTATCTTTAATAAACTGTTTCTGGATATAAATCACTTGCAACCAGGATATTTAAAAATACTCCTTAAGAGAAAATGGTGTATTCAGCTTTTACTGAAAGTTCCAGCCAGAGCAGCCAGGCCAAAAAAGAAACATCTGAATTAGAAAGAAATAAAACTATCTTTTTTCACAGATGACACGATCTTATATATGCATGATCCTACAGAAGCCATAAAAAAGTATTAAAGCTTATGAATAAATTCAGCAAAGCTGCAGGACCCAAGATCTACCTTGAATTTAGCAATGGTGTTTTTAGATAGGACACCAAAAGCACAACCAACAAAAAAATTGGAAAACTCACAAAAATGTGGAAATTAAACAATGCAATTCTGATTAACCAACGTGTCAAAGAAGAAATCAAAAAGGAAATCAAAGAGTATCTCGACCCCAAGAAAATGGAAACACAACAAACAAAATTTATGGGATGGAAAAGCAGTTCTAAGAGGACAATTTAGATTGGTAAGTGCCTACATTAAGAAAAACGATCTTGGGCACCTGGGTGGCTCAGTAGGTTAAGCACCTGCCTTTGGCTCAGGTCATGGTCCTAGGGTTGTGGGATCAAGTCCTGAATCAGGTTCCTTGATCAGCGGGGAGACTGCTTCTCCCTCTCTTCCTGCCCGTGCCCCTGCTCGTGTTCTCTCTGTCTCTGTCTGTCTCTCTCTCTCAAATAAATAAAATCTTTAAAAACAAAGAAAGAGAAAAGATTTCAAATAAATAACCTAACTTCATGGCGAGCTGCTTAATGGATACAGGTTTTCCAATTAAAATGTCCTAAAACTAGACAGAAGTAGTGGTTGCACAACAATGTAAATGTACTAAATCCACATTTAGAAAGCTAATCATTAATTTTATATGAATTAACTTTTTTTTAAAGATTTTATGTATTTGACAGAGAGAGAAAAATCACAAGTAGGCTGAAAGGCAGGTGGGACAGGGGGAGCAGGCTCTCTGCTGAGCAGAGAGCCCGATGTGGGGCTCGATCCCAGGACCCTGAGATCATGACCAGAGCTGAAGGCAGAGGCTTACCCCACTGAACCACCCAGGCGACCCTGAATTATACCTTTCAAAAATGAAAAAAAGGGGGGAGGAGTCAGGCACAGTCTTAAAACCTAAAATATTTTATATGTTTCTCTTCAGAAAATACCACAAATTTTAAAACAGATTTAAAACACTTTCATCATTACATGTTTTTTTCAATAAAGCTACTTTTTCAAATACTTCTTAAAGTAATATTAATAGAATGCCCCATTTCTTACCAGAAGACTCTTTTCCATTCTGTTTCTCATAGAGGGTACCCACAGACATCAGGAAAACAATAACCAGGAACACTGGAATTCTCCATGAGCCAGCCAGGGATGCTGAAAATTTATTAAGAGTTAACATTTTTAGTTAAATAAAAATCTACCACTTGTCTTTAGAAGGCTCAATTTATTCTTAGCAACAGTATCTGAAGGTAGAAGTTAGACTGGGGGCGGGGGGGTGGGGAAGACCAGTAGAATGACAGAACAATTTGGCATAGATGTCATTAACAAAATTATTTCACAGGGAATAAAATTTTTTTAAAGGTCATAAGACAGATGAAACCTCAGTTCAGGACTCCTCTCAGTTAAATCCAGCCCTGCTCTGAGGCCCCTGGTCTAAAGGATTGGGTATGTGCCAGCCTACCCTGAATGGGCTTCTATCGCCTGAGGAATCAGGTCTGTTCTAAGCACACCAGTGTTGAGGACAAACCTGAACTCAAGCTTTTTGTTTAACCCCAAAATGACCTGCATCAGGCACAGAACCTAAAGTCACGGGGCCTGACTTCATTTCCTAAAAATACCACTGGGGGTGAACTCCCATCTCTCAAGAAAGGGTGAAATGGCCCAAAAGACCACTATAAAAAGCTTCAGTGTATCCTCAATGTAGAGGGCAAAAATGCTAACATTTTTGGCCCCTACGTATAGGCATTTGTGTTTCCCTGAGTTGATCTAGAACCTCCTGGACTGCTTGTCTCCCTCCGTTGCCTTCCCCAAATTCAAAATGAGTCACGTCGGACTCATCAGGGGATCTTGCTAAAATACAACATCCTCCTTTAAGGTTCCAAATCAGCAAAGCTTCTTAGAAAGTAATGTTTTGTTCCACATCAGACTCTAAGCAAAGACCTACCTTCAATCAACCCTGATTTTTAACCAGTAGCTCTAAAAACTACTTTAGATAGGCTAATTACTGCTCTATATAACTGAATTTTGTTTTTATTTATGAGAACCTAATGCTTCCATAAGCTTAAGACCTGGAGACAAAAGAGTCCCTGAAAAAACATCACTCTACAATATCCTAGCAGGTACCCTGCTAACAGTAAAGAGTCCCAAGTAACAGGGAACTCATTATTTTGAGCAGCTGACACTGATCATCCTGACGCTGAACAGATTTGTCTCCCTGAAGCTACTCATTGCTCTGACACCTCTCCCTCATGGTTACAGAGATCTGTTTAAACCGCTCTTTCACAGGACAGTCCTTCAAATAGGTGCAACAGGTGTCCACATTTTATCTCTTCCTTCCCTCCACCCATAGAGCCCAGTCCCCTTCTCTCATCCTGAGTAAATACCTCTGGTTCCCATAAGTGTTGCTCACACACTTGACTGCTTAGCTATATCCTCCTTAAGTTTGACACTCAGAAGTGGCCACGATGGTGCAAGGGTGCCCTACTTTTTAAGATATATTTATTTTTAAAGGACCTTTTGAAAATGAAGATTCTATATAATTAAAAGACAGACATGTTAAAGCATAACATTTGTATTAAAGATTAAAGAAGGATTAAAGCACATTTTCTAAAGATCATTTTAAAGAATGTTAAATGCAACATGTAACACTACACAAAAAATTCACTTCAGTTCACAGGATCAGCCTCTGCTGATCTTAAGCTAGACTTTCTTAGAAAAAGGGACCCACCTAAATGAAAAAGCAATATAATCCAGACAGGAATTGAAACTGCTCTCAAGTAGCGTTCAGTGCTTGCATTCCACTTGAATGAAACAGTCAACACATAGCCAACTACCAACGTCCAGATCTTAAATGAAATATAGACACAGTTGTAAATATATATACATGAAAATAAACATATAATCATACAAAAATCTGCAAACATCTATACATCTATGAGAGCTCTGGATACAACACAGATAAGATGAAGGTGGTCGTGCTAAACACATGTGTAGACTTTCCTCTTCTGTGTAGATAAATCAAGATTTGAAATAAACAAGCATTTGAAATCCAGCATATGTAGCAATGTTGTTGTTGTTGTCATTATTATTATGATTTGACAGAGAGAGACAGAGAGAGAGAGGGAACACAAGCAGGGGGAGTGGGAGAGGGAGAAACGGGCTTCCCGCCGAGCAGGGAGCCTGATGTGGGCCTCGATCCCAGGACTCTGGGGTCACGACCTGAGCCAAAGGCAGATGCTTAACGACTGAGCCACCCAGACGTCCATGTAGCAATATTATTTAAAGAGTCTCACAGTGCCTGGTTGGCTCAGTCAGTGGAGCGTGTGACTCTTGATCCCAGGGTTGTGAGTTTGAGCCCCACATTGGGTGCACAGATGACTTAAAAATAAAAATCTTAAAAAGAGGGGCGCCTGGGTAGCTCAGTGGGTTAAAGCCTCTGCCTTCGGCTCAGGTCATGATCCTGGGGTCCTGGGATCAAGCCCCGCATCGCATCGGGCTATCTGCTCAGCAGGGAGCCTGGTTCCCTTCCTCTCTCTCTCTGCCTGCCTCTCTGCCTACTTGTGATCTCTGTCAAATAAACAAACAAAAATCTTAAAAAAAAAAAAAAAAAAAAAAGAACAGTCTTAACAACAAAAAAAATACCATATAGTTTTAAGATATGTTGAAGTTCAAAAGCAACTGTATACATAAAGATGCTTAAGATAAAAATATTCGTTTTTAAGCTATGGACTTAAAGCGAGAGCTTAATATGGTGGAATTCCTCAAGTTTCTCTATACATTAGTATTTAAAAAGAACAACAGGGGCGCCTGGGTGGCTCAGTGGGTTAAAGCCTCTGCCTTCGGCTCAGGTCATGGTCCCAGGGTCCTGGGATCGAGCCCCGCATCGGGCTCTCTGCTCAGCGGGGAGCCTGCTTCCTCCTCTTTCTCTCTGCCTGCCTCTCTGCCTACTTGTGATCTCTGTCAAATAAATAAATAAAATCTTAAAAAAAATAAAAAAATAAAAATAAAAAGAACAACAAAAAAGAAAGCTTCCCCGGGGCGCCCCGGTGGCACAATCTGTCAAAGACTGTTGGTTTTGGCTCAGGTCATGATCTCAGGGTCCTGGGATGGTACTCCATGCTCCGCATTCAGTCTGCTTGACATTCTCTCTCTCCTACTGCCCCTCCCACTCATGCTCACTCTGTTTTTCTCTCAAATAAATAAGTTAATCTTAAAAAGAGAGAGAGAGAAAGTTTCCCAAAAGAATCAGGTTAAAAGATTCTATCACATCCTATGAACTCTGCTTGTTAACTGTGAAAATAATGTTCTTAAAAAGCTAGGAAGAAGGCATCCAGGTGAACTGGGATCCCTGAAATAATCCAGGTAACAGATGGTTAACCCTAGTTGAGCTGCGTGCACAGCTCAAGAAGTGTAGCTAAAAGAAAAAAAAATTACCAGAGGAAGAAACTGCAAAAGCTGAGGGCAAAGGAACCACCAGGGTCCCCTCCTCAGTTTTCCCTCCACTAAACCAAGGGCTCTAGCACTAAAGAAATAACTACAAGAGCCTACACAGAAACTCTACTAACATGTATGAAAGATGGAAGGAATACATAACCCACAACGATGTGAGCACCAAGAACCTATTAAAAGAACCTGAGGGTTCCTGGGTGGTGCAGTTCGTTAAACGTTTAATTCTTGGTTTCTGATCAGGTCCTAATCTCAGGGTCTTAAGATCAAGCCCCACGTCTGGCACCACACTCAGTGTGGAATCTACTTGAGATTCTCTCTCCCTCTCACTCTGCCCCTCCCGCTCATGCACATGCTTTCTCTCAAAATAAATAAGTCTTTTAAAAATAAAATAAAATAACCTGAATCTTGGGGGAGGGGAACGCAAGTTAAAAACAAACAAACAAACAAAAAAACCCCACAACTTTGTTTTAAGTCAGAGAATGAAGAAAAAGAACTAATTACTACAAAAGAGGAGGGAAAAAAAACTATCTCCTACTTTATTTGGGTCATATCAATCAATAAAATAGTCTTTTGGTCTTAAAACGTTCATAGCTTCTGACCTGAGACTTCAGCTTTGGAACTTTACTAAATAAGAATAAATTCTGCAAAAGCCTTTATAACATAAAGAAGTTCATCACAGTATCATTTAGAATAGTGAAAAGTGGATAATCTAGTAAGTCCCACAGCTGGGAAGTGAGTAAGGAGGATTTACTCAATAAAATGTATGCAGCCATTAAAATCGGGTTTTTAAACAAAACTATATAGTTAGAAACACTCCTAAGATATTCTTAAAGAAAAAGCAAAATACAAAAATCACATACATATGACATGATTGTATCTACTGTGTGGCAGGAGGTAAAGGAAATGTACTAAGAAGTTAGTAGTTATATTTTCATGGTGGATTTTGGTTTTCCTTTTACTTTTTTGTGTATTTTCCAAAGAGCCTTTAATGAGCACTAATTATCTTATCATGGAAAGGATATTAAAATATTCTTCTTCAAGCAACTCCAGTAGATGAAATATCAAGAGATCTTAAGCCCTAGCTAATATGAGCACCTGGGAAGTGAGACCACAGCTGCTTCAAAACAGTTCAAGCCTGCAGAACCACACAAATTTAACCCGGTAATTCAGAGAATCTGAGGTAGGGCTGTAGAGCTCGGACCAAAATCTGAGTATAATAACAGTACATTTATATAATACTTACTACGGACCAGACTCTGTTCTAATGCTTTATAAATATATGAACTCATTAAATCCTCATAACCCCAGGAAATCAGTACTATTACCATCCCCATTTTACAGATGAAAGAAACTGAGACTTTGGGGGCATGACCTCCTCATGGTCACACAGCTAAAAAGTGACAGAGCCAGGATTAGAACCCAGGAATCTGGATCCAGAGTCTGCTTTCTTAACAGTGAGGAGAAAGAAGGGTATGTGCTAAAAAATAAAGACGAACAGCCGCTCCAGTATTCACAAGCAAACATAAAAAATAAAAAAGTCTGTTTTGGTGACTACAAATTGTTGAAATAAAAAATGATCCTCAGTAAATGGTCCGTTTTCAATGGTTATGCCACACACGGGTTATCAGCCCACCCCAGGAAACATTTAGTCAGTAATTCAGGTTAGAGACTAGAAGGCTTATTAAGTGAACTCCCAGGTTACACAAAACTGGGAACAGTCAATAAAAACTGAGATGACTGTAATGATTCAAAATGATATTCTGAAGCTAGAAAAGGGCTAATTAAAATAAGATTAAATTTAATAGAAAGATCCAAAAGTCTGCTCTTAGGTTCAAAACTCAACTGCACAAGTATTGAACAGAAAAAGGACAGCTAAGCTACTTTCCAGTTCAGTGAGTCAGCAGTATAAATGGTGTGAGTGCCTCTTAATAACTCTCATATCAGGAGAAATGACTGTTTCAATGACTTTTGCACTACTGAACCATAGCAATAAAATTCAGAATGGGAAAGGAAAGAGAAATCACAACATAGGAGATACACATATACATGGGGGAGAAAAAATTGCTTAGCTTAGAAAAGAGAAGGAAATATCAAGATTTGATAACTATCTTCAAATAGCTAGGAGAATGTCTTCTGGGAGACATATTTGCCTTAATCGCCCATGGTCCTGAGGAGAAGAAATATGTGGGAATTAGGAAGCAGCACATTTCAGCCCAATATGAGGATAAATTTTTCTAACAAACTATAGCTTTCTAAAAATGGAATATTTTATTTGAGCAAAAGCTGTCAGGGATGACAAAGCAGGAGAGTCTGCTCTCAGTGAGACGCTGACCTAAAGGATCACAAAAGGCATATCTTTTCATACTTTAAGCCTATGATGTTTTAAAACTGATCTCCAATAAGTTTCTGATTCTTACCTGGACTCATAAGGAATCAGTATCACCTACAGGGAGAGAAAAGACTTCATATTTCAGATTTTTTTAAGGGAAAAGCATGGTCTAAAGAGAAGCACATATTTTCATCTAGTAAACCTGAAACTCATGGATAACCTCATTTTAGTTTAAAATAACCACTTACTAAGGGCGCGTGGGTGGCTCAGTCGGTTACATGCCGGACTCTTGATTTCAGCTCAGTTTGTGACCTCAGGGTCATCGGGCTCTGCACTGGGTGTGGAGCCTGCTTAAGATTCCCTCCCTCTGCCCCTCCACCACTGGGCTCACGTTCTTTCAAAAAAATAAATAAAAATTAAAAATAAAATAACAACTTATTAAATACACTCCCCAATTTCACTTCTAAACTTGGTTTACAGAAGCACTACAGACTGTGCACAGAGATATGAAAATGTTCACTATGGCAGCATAAAATATTAAAAAATTAGTAACAACCTAAACATTATTTTATAAGGGACTCTTTAAATAATGGTACCTCAAAAAACTGGAATAATTATTCAGAATTTCAGAGGCGTGATGAATATCTACATTCAATGACACAGCATAAATGCATACATGTGTAAATTTACAATAGTGAAAATACACTTGCCAAAATATTTAAAAATATTATCTCTGGATGGTTAGATTTCTGGAGGTAATTTGCTTATTTCTGTTTTTCTTCAAGTGCTGAATTTTCTAAGATTATTATCTTTATAAATAGCAATTTTTTTAAAATTTTATTTATTTGATAGAGAGAGAGACAGCAAGAGAGGGAACACAAGCAGGGGGAGTGGGAGAGGGAAAAGCAGGCTCCCCACAGAGCAAGGAGCCCTATGCGGGGCTCGATCCCAGGAGGCTGGGATCATGACCTGGGCTGAAGGCAGACACTTAACAACTGAACCACCCAGGTGCCCCACAAATAGCAAATGTTTTTTTAACTTAAAAAAAAACTCCCTTGGCCTATGGAT